CTATAATTTTTGCACTCTCTTTTATCCCCTTTGCCTTTATACAAAGGAACTATGCATGCTCTCTGCCAATCCTAGTCCCTTTAAACCCTCTTCCATACATTTATTAAATAATTTCACCAACCACTCCAAAACTAATCCCCACCCGCTTTTAACATTTCATCTTTATCCCATCAACCCGGGTGCCTTTCCCCCCTTTATTTTTCCTACTGCCTCACGAACTTCCCCCACACCACAACGGCTCTTCCTCACCCTACAAATGTTTTTCCTCCTTGCCCATACCCGAAACACGCTTTCCCCACTTATCAAAATTTTTAAAAATTTCCCCAAATATTCCCCCCACTTCCCAATACCTTAACTCTCCATTTTAACCCTTTGAGGGGCGACAGGGCCCCCCGAAACTCGTTCTCAGGGGCGGCCAAATTTAAAAAAAAAAAAATTATTTTCCCTTTTAAAAAAAAGAGAATCTTTTCCCGATCATAAAGACACCAAAAAATTTTAAATTTTTTTAGAAACTTACGGGAATTATGCTCTCGCAAAGTTTGCGGGCTCGGCATGTTTTTTCGGATCGGCGATTTTTTGCCCCCTTGAGCCCCCTTTTCGGCCAAAATTTCACTTACTAGTCACAAAAAAAAACGAATATTTGGGTAAACCCCCATTTTTTCTATCAAGGGCAAGAAACCACTCATTATGAAATTCAAAAATATCCCGTACAGTGGTCGAATTTTTGCAATTTTGCCAAATTTTACACAAAATTTTAAAAGATGCTAATTCCGAATAGGGTCCAGAATAAAAAAAAAAAACATTCCGGCACTAAAATACATTTCCTCTAGTCATTATCACTCTCAAGGCCCCCCTTATATTCTTTTTTCTTTCCACTTTTGAAACCAAAAATATAAAATTTTCTTACAGACTACGCATTGTTTAAAAATGGGGATAAATATTATTGGGGCATTTGTGAAAATATTAGACTCACCCCTTACGTGTATTGCACGCTTGGCACGATTTTTTTACTTTTGAATTGGTAAAAAACGAAAATTTTTTGCTATTTGAGCTCAATTTCAAGGCACCTTCTTGTAAAAAACCCGCAAAAAAACATCTCAATTTCTGTAATATGTCTTCCCTTCTATAAAATGAGACCAAGAAAAATAGAATACAACAATAAAAACCATACGAAAATACACTGCAAAGTCGCTGATTTATTAAAAAAAAATGGTAAAAGTTTTTTTTTCTCATTATGCACTGTGTGCTGCAGGATTTTTTTTAGACTGTGCACACTGACCACATAGACCCATTCTTTCATATGAAGGCCTACCAGCTTTCTCCCACAGATTTGAGGCCGCTAGAATTTATGAGTACTAGTACGTCAAAAAACCCTACGCGTAAGACGTACTAGTAGACGAAAACCCTCAAAAGGGTTAATAACTCTCCTCTCCTATTTTTAACTGACAAATCCATTTGTTCTCTAGGCTTTCTTAACTTGTTAATCTCACTCCAAACTTTTTCTTATTTTCAACAAAATTTTTTGATAACATCTCACCCACTCTCTCATTTGCTCTCTTTTTACATTGCTTCACCACTCTCTTTAAACCCCTCTCTTTTTCTCCATATACTCTTCCTCCTTGCATCACTTTACTTTGTAAAAACTTCTCATATACTACTTTTTCTCCCCTTTCTACTCTCTTTACATCATCATTCCACCCAAACGCTTTCCTCTTCCCTCCTGCCCCCCACTTCCTGCCACAAACTTCTGCTGAACACTCTAAACACTATTTTTTTTAAACCTACCCCATACCTCTTCGACCCCATTGCCTATGCTCTCATTAGCCCATCTATCTCCAATAGCTGTTTATATCTTACCCTAACTGCCTCCTCTTTTAGTTTATAAACCTTCACCTCTCTCTTCCCTGATGCTTCTATTCTCCTTGTATCCCATCTACCTTTTTTCTCTCAGTGTAGCTACAACTAGAAAGTGATTGATATATCTGTGGCCCCTCTATAAACATTTTACATCCTGAAGTCTACTCAACAGTCTTTTATCTACCAATACATAATCCAACAAACTACTGTCATTTCGCCCTACATCATATCTTGTATACTTATTTATCCTCTTTTTCTTAAAATATGTATTACCTATAACTAAACCCTTTCTATACAAAGTTCAATCAAAGGGCTCCCATTATCATTTACACCTGGCACCCCAAACTTACCTACCACACCCTCTCTAAAAGTTTCTCCTACTTTAGCATTCAGGTCCCCTACCACAATTACTCTCTCACTTGGTTCAAAGGCTCCTATACATTCACTTAACATCTCCCAAAATCTCTCTCTCTCCTCTGCATTCCTCTCTTCTCCAGGTGCATACACGCTTATTATGACCCACTTCTCGCATCCAACCTTTACTTTAATCCACATAATTCTTGAATTTACACATTCATATTCTCTTTTTCTCCTTCCATAACTGCTCATTTAACATTACTGCTACCCCTTCCTTTGCTCTAACTCTCTCAGATACTCCAGATTTAATCCCATTTATTTCCCCCCACTGAAACTCTCCTACCCCCTTCAGCTTTGTTTCGCTTAGAGCCAGGACATCCAACTTCTTTTCATTCATAACATCAGCAATCATCTGTTTCTTGTCATCCGCACTACATCCACGCACATTTAAGCATCCCAGTTTTATAAAGTTTTTCTTCTTCTCTTTTTTAGTAAATGTATAAAGGAGAAGGGGTTACTAGCCCATTGCTGGAGGCAGTGGAGATGTCATGTCTGAGGGCAATGTGTGGTGTGAATATAATCCAGAGAATCAGTAGTTTGGAAATTAGTAGAAGGTGCGGGATTATCAGAACTATTAGTCAGGGCTGAAGAGGGGTTGTTGAGATGGTTTGGACATTTAGAGAGGATGGAACAAAATAAAATGACTTGGAGAGTATAAATCCGTAGTGGAAGGAGGGTGGGGTAGGTGTTGACCTAGGAAAGGTTGGAGGGAGGGTTAACCCTTTGACTATTTCAGTCGTATATGTACGTCTTACCAGCCACCGTGTTTGACATACATGTACAGTGGACCCCCGCATAACGATTACCTCCGAATGCGACCAATTATGTAAGTGTATTTATGTAAGTGCGTTTGTACGTGTATGTTTGGGGGTCTGAAATGGACTAATCTACTTCACAATATTCCTTATGGGAACAAATTCGGTCAGTACTGGCACCTGAACATACTTCTGGAATGAAAAAATATCGTTAACCGGGGGTCCACTGTACATGTATATATACTCATAAGTTCTTGCGGCTTCAAATCAAGCAGGAGAAAGCTGGTAGGCCCACATGTGAGAGAATGGGTCTGTGTGGTCAGTGTGCACCATATAAAAAAATCCTGCAGCACGCAGTGCATAATGAGAAAAAAAAAAACTTTTTTTTTTTAATTAAAATGCCGATTTTGTGGTTTATTTTCGTATAGTATTTATGGTTGTATTCTCGTTTTCTTGATCTCATTTGATAGAATGGAAAACATATTATAGAAATAGAGGTTATTTTGATTGGTTTTACTATGAGAAGAACCTTGAAATGAAGCTCAAAGTAGGGGAAATGTTTGATTTTTGCCCGTGTTCCAAAGTAAACCAATGATGTCATTTTCTAATAAATGTCCAAGTAGCCATTTTAATATGCAGTCATGAATGGTTTGACATTATTTATACAATTTTTACAATATTGCAGTAGTCTGCATAACAGTAAATCTTCTATTTTTTGAATAAAAATTCAAAACAGAAAGCAAGAGTAATATCAGAGGGGCCTGGAGACGTGACTGATGAACAAAGAAAATGTTATTTTAGTGCCAGGAATGTCTACATTGTTCATTCTGGACCCTGTTTTGAAATTGTCATATTTTTTAATTTTTATGAAATTGGCCAAATTGCCAATTTCTGACCACGTTATTGGGTAGTTGAAATCAGTAAATGGGCAGTTTCTTGTACTCATTTGATAGAAAAAATGGAGTTCTAAAGAAATAGTTATGAGTTTTTTCGACTGGAACAATGGAATTAGCCAAAAATAGGGCTCAAAGTGGGCGAAATAGCCGATTCGTAAATATCGCCATGGTCGCTAACTTCGTGAAAGCGTAATTCCATCAGTTTTTCATCAAATTTCGTTCTTTTGGTGTCATTACAATCGGGAAAAGATTCTCTGTCATTTCATAAGAAAAAATAATTTTTTTTCGGAAATTTTGCAACACCAGGAGACACCTCAGGATTGGGGGTTGCGACAGTCAAGGGGTTAAAAGAAGCTGTGTGTGCAAGGGGCCCGGACCTCCAGCAAGTATACTTGAGCGTATTAGGAGTGAGTGGAGACAAGTGGTTTTTAAGACTTGACGTGCTGTTGGAGTGTGAGCAAGGTAACATTTATGAAGGGATTCAGAGAAACTGGTTAGCTAGACTTGAGTCCTGGAGTTGGAAAGTACAGTGCCTGTGCTGTAAAGCATGGCCCTCCTGTATATTGCCCTGCTTCTCCACAGACACTAATTTAAGAAATAATTTACTATTGTAAAAAATTCTGGTGGAGGTAATCATTGCCATTATGCATTCTTCCCACTAATGCCATTATCGAACTACCGTATTTTCCGGCATATAAGGTGCGCTTTTTTTTCACAGTCTTGGAAAATCAGCCTGCACTTCATAATGTCAAGGTGAGGGTCAAGGGTAGACTTTGTGTTACACTTCAGCAATTTACTAACGTTACGTTACAACTGCTTGCAGACATTGTCTTATATGATCATGCGCCTTATATGCCAGGAAATACAATAATCATAATTTTTATTTTGACCCTGATGGCATATCTCTATACAAAATCTAAATACATTAATTATTGCATTATTAATCTTAAGCTTAAGTTTGCCCAAAATGCTCTACATACAAAGGGGTTTCTGCATGCACACCTAAATGTCACCGTCTCTGTACAAACATTGTATCATGATGAGATAAAGAATCTTTAATCTTTAATTCTTTCAGATCGCAAGTACGAGACGTTGATTTTACCAATATATGGCATGCCAGTACCCTTTCACATCTCAATGATCAAGAACATATCACAGAGCGTGGAGGGAGACTACACTTACCTGCGTATCAACTTCTTCCATCCGGGTTCCAGCATCGGCAAGAGCGACGGTGTATTTCCCAACCCAGATGCTGTCTTCCTCAAAGAAGTGTAGGTATCTACAAATCATACCTAAACAAAAATTTTTTTGAAGAATTGAGACACTTGTGCAACACATGGGAATCTTTATTCACCACAAAAATTTTTTATTTCTTATGCTGTATAAAAATGTAGTTTACATGTAATAAAATACAGGGCTTACTCATACAGTAGGTTAGGTTCCTGGCTACTGTAGGGCCCCACTTGTACACTAGGTTAGGTTCCCAGCTACTGTAAGACCACACTTACACTGCAGGTTAGGTTCCGGGCTTCTGCTGTAAAGTGAATTACTTTTAAATGCATATAAAAGCCTGATATTTTCGTCCTTAGCTTAGAGTGAGTGGTTTATGTATTTATTATAGCAAGCCTGAATAAATAAAGGGTAATTGAAAACCACTGCATTATCAAAACACTGCAAAGTGAAGCGCTTAAATTGAGGCTCTCCTGTCTTGTCAAACACAAGTCACTAACATGCGATGCAATTAAGGTAGACTAATACTAATGCTTACACTACTTAAGACTAGACATGGGCATTAAGTGATACAATTTTAAGTATCTATTATTACAGAAAAGAAAGGTAGTAAAAATAGTACAAATATGAGTTGTCTTTTTTTTTTTTTTTTTTCAATGCACCGGCCATATCCCACCCAGGCAGGGTGGCCCAAAAAGAAAAACGTTTCTCTTTACAAATTTAATAATACATACAGGAGAAGTGATTTCGTGTATAGGGCAAGGAGGAATAACATCTTGTAGGAGTGAGGAAGAGCCAGTTGTGAGTGTGGGGGAAGTTCGTGAGGCAGTAGGTAAAATGAAAGGGGGTAAGGCAGCCGGGATTGATGGGATAAAGATAGAAATGTTAAAAGCAGGTGGGGATATAGTTTTGGAGTGGTTGGTGCAATTATTTAATAAATGTATGGAAGAGGGTAAGGTACCTAGGGATTGGCAGAGAGCATGCATAGTTCCTTTGTATAAAGGCAAAGGGGATAAAAGAGAGTGCAAAAATTATAGGGGGATAAGTCTGTTGAGTGTACCTGGTAAAGTGTATGGTAGAGTTATAATTGAAAGAATTAAGAGTAAGACGGAGAATAGGATAGCAGATGAACAAGGAGGCTTTAGGAAAGGTAGGGGGTGTGTGGACCAGGTGTTTACAGTGAAACATATAAGTGAACAGTATTTAGATAAGGCTAAAGAGGTCTTTGTGGCATTATATGGATTTGGAAAAAGGCGTATGACAGGGTGGATAGGGGGGCAATGTGGCAGATGTTGCAAGTGTATGGTGTAGGAGGTAGTTTACTGAAAGCAGTGAAGAGTTTTTACGAGGATAGTGAGGCTCAAGTTAGAGTATGTAGGAAAGAGGGAAATTTTTTCCCAGTAAAAGTAGGCCTTAGACAAGGATGTGTGATGTCACCGTGGTTGTTTAATATATTTATAGATGGGGTTGTAAAGAGAAGTAAATGCGAGGGTCTTGGCAAGAGGCGTGGAGTTAAAAGATAAAGAATCACACACAAAGTGGGAGTTGTCACAGCTGCTCTTTGCTGATGACACTGTGCTCTTGGGAGATTCTGAAGAGAAGTTGCAGAGATTGGTGGATGAATTTGGTAGGGTGTGCAAAAGAAGAAAATTAAAGGTGAATACAGGAAAGAGTAAGGTTATGAGGATAACAAAAAGATTAGGTGATGAAAGATTGAATATCAGATTGGAGGAGAGAGTATGGAGGAGGTGAACGTATTCAGATATTTGGGAGTGGACGTTGTCAGCGGATGGGTCTATGAAAGATGAGGTGAATCATAGAATTGATGAGGGAAAAAGAGTGAGTGGTGCACTTAGGAGTCTGTGGAGACAAAGAACTTTGTCCTTGGAGGCAAAGAGGGGAATGTATGAGAGTATAGTTTTACCAACGCTCTTATATGGGTGTGAAGCGTGGGTGATGAATGTTGCAGCGAGGAGAAGGCTGGAGGCAGTGGAGATGTCATGTCTGAGGGCAATGTGTGGTGTGAATATAATGCAGAGAATTCGTAGTTTGGAAGTTAGGAGGAGGTGCGGGATTACCAAAACTGTTGTCCAGAGGGCTGAGGAAGGGTTGTTGAGGTGGTTCGGACATGTAGAGAGAATGGAGCGAAACAGAATGACTTCAAGAGTGTATCAGTCTGTAGTGGAAGGAAGGCGGGGTAGGGGTCGGCCTAGGAAGGGTTGGAGGGAGGGGGTAAAGGAGGTTTTGTGTGCGAGGGGCTTGGACTTCCAGCAGGCATGCGTGAGCGTGTTTGATAGGAGTGAATGGAGACAAATGGTTTTTAATACTTGACGTGCTGTTGGAGTGTGAGCAAAGTAACATTTATGAAGGGGTTCAGGGAAACCGGCAGGCCGGACTTGAGTCCTGGAGATGGGAAGTACAGTGCCTGCACTCTGAAGGAGGGGTGTTAATGTTGCAGTTTTAAAAACTGTAGTGTAAAGCACCCTTCTGGCAAGACAGTGATGGAGTGAATGATGGTGAAAGTTTTTCTTTTTCGGGCCACCCTGCCTTGGTGGGAATCGGCCGGTGTGATAATAAAAAAAAAAAAATACAGGAGAAGGTGTTACAAGCACCTTGCTTCCAGCATGATAGTCACCTCTTATGACAGTCATGGCTTACAGAGAAAGAATTCTGCTTCACTTCCCCATGGAGACAAATATATGGCTTCTTCTTTCAACAAACCGGCCGTATCCCACCAACAAGTATAAGTATGTATTAATAATTTACTCCATGGGGAAGTGGAACAGAATTTTTCCTCCATAAGACGTGTGTTGTAAGAGGCGACTGGAATGCTGAGAATAAGACGATAATAACATCTCCTGTATACATTGCTAAATTTAAAGAAGATCAACTTTCATTTTTCTTTTTAGGTCACCCTGCCTCAGTAGATGGCCATTTTGTTGAAAAATATATGTATTTAATATTTTAAACCTATTCAGTGATTTTGAGTTAATTGGGATTTCTTAAGTAGTTTCTAACTGGTTCAGTGATTTCAGGCTGTGAAATGATCATAAAAGATGGTGAAGAAACAGAAAATAGTTAGATGGATTAGTTTTGTTTTCTATAGATGAGTTGGTTTTGTTTGGTATATCATAGTGTTGGTGTAGTTAGGTTTGGCAGATGAGGTGATTTTTAATTATAGCTTTACACTGATTAGCAGACAGAATTTTTATATGCATAATATAGTGTAACTCTGCTGAGGAGGGGTTATTGAGGTGGTTTGGTTATTTAGAGAGGATGAAGTAAAATAGGATGACTTGGAGGGTGTATAAATCTGTAGTGGAGGAGAGGAGGGGTAGGGGTCATCTTAGGAAAGGATGGAGGGAGTGGGTAAAAGAGGTTTTGTGTGCAAGGGGTTTGGACATACAGCAGGTGTGTGTGCGTGCGTGCGTGCGTGCATGCGTGCGTACGTGCGTGCGTGTGTGAGTGCGTGCATGCATGCGTGCATATTGTGTGTGTGTGTGTGTTTGTTTGTTTGTTAGTGTTAGATGGGAGTGGTTTGAGGCAAATGGTTTTTGGAACTTGACAAGCTGTTGGAGTGTGAGCAGGGTAATATTTTGTGAAGGGATTCAGGGAAACCGGTTAGCCAGACTTGAGTCCTGGAGGTGGGAAGTACAATGCTTGCACTTTAAAGGAGCAGTTTGGGATATTGGCTGTTTGGAGTGACATCTAAACTGTCATACCTGTGCACCTCTGGCAAGACAGTGATAGTGTGAATGATGGTCAAAGTGTTTATTTTTCAGGTCACCCTGGCTTGGTGGGAGATGGCCTTGGTATTAAAAAAAAAATTTGACCCCCTACTGGGGTGCTTTTCTACTGAAGAGGACCCCAGAAAGGGGTCAAGATATACATATCAATTAATTTTTTGAGCTTGTGTCTCCATGTGGGTTACTGTTGAGCACTGACAAGTGTTCATAACTCTTCATATAATAAAGTATATAAATTGATGACTAGGCAGTAATATTTCTATACTATTCATAAATCAAAAGGAACTGTCTTTAGAAGTGAATATATTTGAAGTTTAGGCTGGTTAGTATCCAAGGAAGAATAGGCTAATAATGATACATAGTGAGATTGTTGGTGTTTAAATTTAAACTGACTAGAAAATGTGTATCTACAAAAACACTTCAAGTACACTGCAAAAACATTACAAAAACACTATAAAGATACTGCACAAACATTACATAAGCACTACAAAAGCATTGCAGAAAACTACAGTAAGTCCTCGACTTAAAAACACATTAAGAATCTTCTGTATTGTGTATAATATAATATCATTATTGTGTGCGAGGGGCTTGGACTTCCAGCAGGCGTGCGTGAGCGTGTTTGATAGGAGTGAATGGAGACAAATGGTTTTTAATACTTGACGTGCTGTTGGAGTGTGAGCAAAGTAACATTTATGAAGGGGTTCAGGGAAACCGGCAGGCCGGACTTGAGTCCTGGAGATGGGAAGTACAGTGCCTGCACTCTGAAGGAGGGGTGTTAATGTTGCAGTTTAAAAACTGTAGTGTAAAGCACCCTTCTGGCAAGACAGTGATGGAGTGAATGATGGTGAAAGTTTTTCTTTTTCGGGCCACCCTGCCTTGGTGGGAATCGGCCAGTGTGATAATAAAAAATAATAAATAATAATATTGTGTATATCATTATTATATATTATTATACACAATTCATTAGGTTCCCAATGTGTTTGTAAGTGAAGGACTTGCTATATAAGAGTACTGCATAAACATTACATAAATACTACAAAAACACTATAAAAACAGTATGGCCAGTTTATTTGCTGTTGTGTCATGGTAATTTGTTTGGACAGGACGTACCGTAGTACTAACACTAAGGAACCCGGGGAACTGTCCGCTCCATCCTCCAACCTCAACACAGCGTTCCGACTCATTAAGGAGGTGCAGAAAAAATTCAAGACTCGGGAAGCCGAGGAGAAGGAAAAGGAAGATCTGGTCAAACAAGACACGCTCATTGTATCAAACAACAAGTCGAACCCTAAGTTGAAGGACCTGTATATTCGTCCAAACATTGTCCAGAAGAGAATTAATGGCACTTTGGAAGCACATACGAATGGTTTCAGGTGAGTGGCAATTTTTCCAGAGGTTTTTTAAATGGCAAATGCACTTTCTCTTTTGTTTTTCTTTTTAGGTCACCCTGCCTCAGTGGGAAATGGCTGGTGTATTGAAGCAAAAATGCTCTTTCTGGCCAGAGATTCTGCTCAATCGTAGAAAGTTCAATTATGATTGAAACTGTTGAAATGGAGGGCTTTCTAGATCTACTTGTCCTTGACCACAACTTTTTGAACCTTAATAATAATAATATCTTTATTTCTACAAATACATGTTCAACGTATAGAAGCCTAGCTGACATCAATGACTTACTACTGTACTATATAGAAAGCTCCTTGTTATGCAGAGCATTTTCTGCAAATTACCGTATTTCGCAGCTTATTCGACACATTTTTTTTCCATAAAATGTCTCCAAAAACCAGCCTGCATCCTATAAACTGAAGGTCATTGACAGGAGCTATAAGTTTGGGGTGTGGGTGGGCTGTAGCTCTCCCAGTTATGTCCAATGTCCAGCCATTGAAACTAAAATAAGTCTTATAAGCCACAAAATACAGTAGGTCAGTTTTGTCCCAGGATGTGACCCACACCAGTTGACTAATACCCAGGTACCCATTTTACTGGTGGGTGAACAGGGACTACCAGTGTAAGGAAACAAGCCTGATGTTTTCACCCTTGCCGGGAATTGAACCCTGACCCTCAGCCTGTGAAGCTAGAGCTTTGCCTACTAGGCCATGGGCCACCTTCTTGAAACTTGTGTAGAGTTGCATCTCTGAGGAGGTTATTGGAAACTTCAAAATGGTGGCATTTTTGATGGGACTCCAAGGAGGTTTTACCAAGTTTCCCTGTTATCTCTGTCATTGGGATAGGAGAGAGAGCAGCACAATACCAGAGGAAGCACTGGCCTCAGGCCATGGGCCACCTTCTAGAAACTTTTGTAGGGTTTCCTCAGAGATGCACTCTTTATGGTACATCTTATAGATAATAACCTTACCTCTGTCATCTCATCAGTTACCTGGCATTGCTATGTTGATGACATTTTCATTACACCTAGAAAATTTCATGTCTCTGACCTTCAGAGGAAGTCCAACTAGGTTCAGCCTTCCATACTCTCCTGCTATATATACACCCCTCTCTTCCCTGCTGGTTTTGTGTTAATAGTTTACAATACTAACATGAGAGGTTGTTGAGGTGGTTTGGTCATTTAGAGAAGATAGGGCAAAATAGGATGACTTGGAGGGTGTATAAATCTGTAGTGGATGGAAGGAGGGGTAGGGGTTGTCTAGGAGAGGTTGAAAGGAGGGGGTAAAGGAGGTTTTGTGTGAGAGGGGCTTGGACATACAGCAGGCATGTGTGAGCATGTTAGATGGGAATGGAGGCAAATGATTTTTGGGACTTGATAAACAGTTGGAGTGCAAGTAGGGTAATATTTTATGAAGGGATTCAGGGAAACCGGTTAACCAGACTTGAGTCCTGGAGGTGGGAAGTACAATGCCTGCACTCTAAAAGAGGAGTTTGGGATATTGGCTGTTTGGAGTAACATCTAAACTGTCATACATGTGCACCTCTGGAAGACAGTGGTAGTATGAATGATGGTGAAAGTGTTTCTTTGGGTCACTGCCTCAGTGGGAGACTACCAGCATGTTAACAAAAAAATAATTTTTATACAGGATAAAGTTAATAAGCAAAGTGAATTAGATATGTCATGTAAGTTCGTTATATAGTATACACATTGTATGACTTAAAACTAAATGGATTTTATTGAACTTTTGTCTTAACTCTTTTTATTATTATTATTATTATCACACTGGCCGATTCCCACCAAGGCAGGGTGGCCCGAAAAAGAAAAACTTTCACCATCATTCACTCCATCACTGTCTTGCCAGAAGGGTGCTTTACACTACAGTTTTTAAACTGCAACATTAACACCCCTCCTTCAGAGTACAGTGCCTGCACTCTTAAGGAGGGGTGTTAATGTTGCAGTTTAAAAACTGTAGTGTAAAGCACCCTTCTGGCAAGACAGTGATGGAGTGAATGATGGTGAAAGTTTTTCTTTTTCGGGCCACCCTGCCTTGGTGGGAATCGGCCAGTGTGATAATAATAATAAAAAAAGAGTTAAGACAAAAGTTCAATAAAATCCATTATTATTTTTCTATTTAGTGTGTAAAGGTAGAAAGTTGAAAGTGAGCATAGAAAAGAGTAAGGTGATGAGGGTATCAAATGATTTAGATAAAGAAAAATTGGATATTAAATTGGGGAGGAGTAGTATGGAAGAAGTGAATGTTTTCAGATACTTGGGAGTTGACATGTCGGCGGATGGATTTATGAAGGATGAGGTTAATCATAGAATTGGTGAAGGAAAAAAGGTGAGTGGTGCATTCAGGTATATGGGGAGACAAAAAACATTATCTATGGAGGCAAAGAAGGGAATGTATGAAAGTATAGTAGTACCAACACTCTTATATGGGTGTGAAGCTTAGGTTGTAAATGCCGCAGCGAGGAGGTGGTTGGAGGCAGTGGAGATGTCCTGTTTAAGGGCAATGTGTGGTGTAAATATTATGCAGAAAATTCGGAGTGTGGAAATTAGGAGAAGGTGTGGAGTTAATAAAAGTATTAGTCAGAGGGCTGAAGAGGGGTTGTTGAGGTGGTTTGGTCATTTAGAGAGATTGGATCAAAGTAGAATGACATGGAGAGCGTATGAATCTATAGGGGAAGGAAGGCGGGGTAGGGGTCGTCCTCGAAAAGGTTGGAGGGAGGGGGTAAAGGAGGTTTTTTGGGTGAAGGGCTTGGACTTCCAGCAAGCATTCATGAGCATGTTAGATAGGAGTGAATGGAGACGAATGGTATTTGTGACCTGACGAGCTGTTGGAGTGTGAGCAGGGTAATATTTAGTGAAGGGATTCAAGGAAACCGGTTATTTTTATATAGCCAGACTTGAGTCCTGGAAATGGGAAGTACAATGCCTGCACTTTAAAGGAGGGGTTCAGGATATTAGCAGTTTGGAGGGATATGTTGTGTGTCTTTATACGTATATGCTTCTAAACTGTTGTATTCTGAGCACCTCTGCAAAAACAGTGATTATGTGTGAGTGAGGTGAAAGTGTTGAATAATGATGAAAGTATTTTCTTTTTGGGGATTTTCTTTCTTTTTGGGTCACCCTGCCTCGGTGGGAGATGGCCGACTTGTTGAAAAAAAAAAAAATTCTTACAGCTAAGTTTATCCATTTTCCCCTTATATTTTAGTGATTCAAATCAAATTAGATTTTTGTGCCATTCGATGAATTGATTATGAGTTTTTTGTGAAGTCAGTTTTGAGGGATAATTATATGAAATGAGATGTAGTGTATCCAAGGAAAAGAATGTATTGTATATAAAAACATAAGAAAGAAGGAACAATGCAACAGGCCTACTGACCCATGCGGAGGAGGTCCAGTCCCCCCCCCCTCCCCCGGGATTAGACCAGTGACCCACCCCCCGGATTATCCCAATGACCCACCCAGTCTGGTCATCCCCACTCAAGGATGGAGCACTGCACCAGACCCAGCAGCACAAGCTAGTCAGGTCCAACTCACACCCACCCACACCCACTCATGTATTTATCTAACCTATTTTTAAAACTACACAACGTTTTAGCCTCAATAACGGTACTCGGGAGTTTGTTCCACTCATCCACAACTCTATTACCAAACCAGTGCTCTCCCATATCCTTCCTGAATCTGAATTTTTCCAACCTGAAACCATTGCTGCGAGTCCTGTCTTGGCTGGAAATTTTCAGCACACTATTACAGCCAGGTTTGAATTAGTGCAAATTCCAATTTAGTGCCAAATTAATAAATGCTAGTTTTCCCCAAATTCTTCAAATAATGCACAAAAATTATATATATAATTCGAATAGTGTGAATTTGAGTAATGTGGCCACTTCACGGGGTTCATTATTCACACTAATGGAGACCTGGCAGTATTATTTATCATGTAGTAACTGGTTAAATACCTTCTCAGGTACACTAGTGTCCGAGGGGACAAGGTTGACATCCTTTACAATAACATCAAGAATGCGTTCTTCCAGCCTTGTGAGGGTGAGATGATTATTCTTCTGCATTTCCATCTTCGGGTAAGTTGCAATATGCTTGCAGGTTGGTTTGTCATCGAGTAATCTTTAACTGTAGTGTCAATACGCCTGTGGCAAGACTGAATGAGTGATGATGTATGTGTTTCTTCCTTTTTGGGTCATCCTGCCTTGGTGGGAAACAGCTAGTGTGTTAAAAAATCAAGCATGTATATGAAGAACAAAAAGGCACAGTAGAGTGACTGGAGCAATACACAAATAACCCGCACATAGTAGAGAGAAGCTTGTGATGATGGTTATTTTAACACACACTCCTTTTCTATTCTTGTCCCACCAACCACTCTCCCTACTTTACACTTCCATCTCTACTGCTGCTACTTTCTCTACCTGTCTTACCACTACTACTACTACCACTACCTGCCTTACCACTACCACTACTACCACTACCTGCCTTACCACTACTACTGCCACTACCTGCCTTACCACTACTACTACCACTACCAGCCTTACCACTACTACTACCACTACCAGCCTTACCACTACTACTACCACTACCAGCCTTACCACTACTACTACCACTACCAGCCTTACCACTACTACTACCACTACCTGCCTTACCGCCTTACCACTACTACTGCCACTACCTGCCTTACCACTACTACTACTACTACTACTACCTGCCTTACCACTACTACTACCACTACCTGCCTTACCACTACTACTGCCACTATCTGCCTTACCACTACTACTACTGCCACTATCTGCCTTACCACTACTACTACCACTACCTGCCTTACCACTACTACTACCACTACCTGCCTTACCACTACTAGTCCTCCTATCATTCTTGTCCCGCGCCTGTCAACTGGCTTATGTATACTGGTTCCACCTCTTTGTTTTTGCTAGTGTGACTTTGTAAGTGTTCCAAGTTGGACCGAAACATCATCATCATAAGCTCCCGTCTATGTGAGAGTTATTTGTGAAAGCATGTACAGTGGACCCCCGCTTAACGATCACCTCCCATTGCGACCAATTATGTAAGTGTATTTATGTAAGTGCGTTTGTACATGTATGTTTGGGGGTCTGAAATGGACTAATCTACTTCACAATATTCCTTATGGGAACAAATTCGGTCAGTACTGGCACCTGAACATACTTCTGGAATGAAAAAATATCATTAACCGGGGGTCCACTGCATATGGTTGGGTCATCAAGTAATCCTGTTATTTTCACTAAGAGAATTAAAGTATGTTGAGATAGAGATTAGTTATATCAAGGGTTCTCAAGAGTGACATCTGGGGATATAACTATTATTTTTCTATACAACTGGTCATACTATCTTCAATGAGTTTGTGGATGTTGTTTTTTAGTATGTCACATCTTATTTAAAAAATTAATAGATGCTGTTCAACTATCTTCTGTTATAAATTTCACAAACGATTGACTGCATCAGCTAGATTACACGTCATCTGATTGTGCTTGTAAATTGTTAAATAATTGTATTCTTCGTTTCAGCATGCAATCATGTTTGGGAAGAAAAAGCACATCGATGTGCAATTTTACACCGAAGTTGGTGAAATAACGACAGATTTGGGCAAGCACCAACACATGCACGATCGTGATGACCTCTCGGCAGAGCAAGCAGAACGAGAACTACGCCACAAGCTCACGTCTGCTTTTAAAAGCTTTACAGAGAAAGTGAGTAATTTTTTTTGATGCACTGGCTATCTCCCACCAAGGCAGGGTGACATAAAAAGAAAAACAAAAATTCAGTAAATTTAGTAATTAATTTTAGTGACATTTTAGTCACCACTTAAGACATGCATGACTTACGGAGGAAGAAAAAGTGAGTAATTTATAATAGAAAGATATTAGATATATAGCAACCCATTTGCAGGTTATTTGTGTATAAACCACGGTACGGGCAGGGATTGAACTCGCAGTGAGTGAGTCATAAAACTCCAGAGTATGTATAATTTCTCACTATGTTGTATGCTCTGTCCACTGTACACTTATGTACAGTTCAGGACATTACCTCTATTAAATGTCCTCAATTGTACATATTTGTATACAGGTGCTCTTCGACTTAGGATATTTCAACTTTACGATGGCGCAGCAGTAATTACTCTGGGGATGAAACTTAAGATAATTACCCAGCATAAAGGCAGCAAGTCCCTAACTTGTATTCATTTATTGACTTTTCAATACTGGCATTTAGTTATAGTAATTATTTTATTGACTCAGTGACAATAGGTACTTAATTATTTATTTAGCATGTCATATTCATAGTCGACTTTCTGTATTTTTGACTTTTGATTGGTTCGCTGGAACATAACCCCATCATAAGTCAAGGACCACCTGTATTCTTCCAGCCACGGTATTGTGTCTTTATTCTTCAGCAAAAAACTGCTGCATGTCTCGCATCTTTCTACCTATTGTCATGTGTGGCTTGACTTCACCAATGATGACTTCTCTTGCATTTTGTCCATGGCGCCTCTGCTTTTTACAGTGTTTATCGTACATTTTATCCCACATCTCTCTAGTATGTTGTTATAGCAGATTCGGGACTGGTTCCTCTAGCACTTTCTGCATTTTTTTTTCGACAAACCAGTCGTATCCCACCAAGGCTGTTTGACCCAAAAAGAAAAATGGAAGTTTTTTTTTTTTAAAGTTAGTAATTTATACAGTAGGTGTTACTAGCCCCTTACTCCCGGCATTTTAGTCACCTCTTATGACACACATGACTTATGGAGAAAGAATTTTTTTCCACTTCCCCACTTCTACATATATATTATCATGTATCTTTCTCTTCTCCACTATTAAGAAAGTCAAAGAAATCGTTTAAAACATAATTTTCATTGTGTGCAGTATGTAAAATTTCTTAAATTATGGTGCTTTTGCAGTCGCTTGTTTTTATTTTCATGAATAAACTGGTTGTGTTGAGAAGCAGGATTGTTGGGGTGTTATGGAGAACTTAGGGAATGAAAAAAGTGGAGGTGGTGGTCATCGAATTATGATGGGGTTATGTTCCAACGAACCCATCGTTGGAACATAACCGAATGTGAATGTGATGTCACAAATAAGTAAATATGTAAGTGCTGTCACTGAATAAGTCAATAAACAAATAATTACTGTAACTAAATACCAGTACGTATTGAAGAGTAAATGAATACATTGCCGTTTCCTGCCACGGCAGGGTGACTTGGAAAAGAAGAAACATTTTCATCATCATTCACACCATCACTGTCTTGCCGGAGGTGCTCCTACACTGCAGCTCCAAAACCGCAATATTAACAACCCTCCTTCAGATTGCAGGCACTGTATTTCCCACCTCCAGGACTCAAGTCCGGCCTGCCGGTTTCTCTGAACTCCTCCACAAATGTTACCTTGCTCACAGCACATCAAGTCATAAAAACCATTCATCTCCACTCGCTCCTATCTAAGACTCTTGCTCATTTATTTATCAAATCATATCCATATTTGACTTACGATATTTTCAACTTAGAGCCTCCAGCAGCAACAGCCTGGTTGACCAGACAAGCACCAGAGGAGTCTGGCCGATGACCAGACTCTGGGAGTAGTAAGACTCTCGAAACTCATCAAAGGCAAAGGTACAATGGATTACCATTCTTTTTTTTCCATAGGTCGAGACCATGACAAAACATCAAATAGAGTTTGACACACCATTCCGTGAGCTTGGATTCCCTGGCGCTCCCTTCCGTTCAACAGTGCTGTTGCAACCTACCTCAGGTATGATATTGATTGTAGATAAATGGTTCCGCAAACCCATGTGTTGATAAATCAGACATGTGTGCAATGCTTTGGTATCTTTATTGTGGAAATGTTACACACTGGCTTTAACAGTCCTGTACAGAGAAGAATCATGGACTGATTACATGGACTCCAGGCTGAGGGACTGATCCTCTCAAACTCCTTGTAATCTTCACCATTCTTCTCTGTTTCGCACTGAGGAAGTCACTGGTGAAACATTTCCACGACAAAGATACCCAGGTATTGCGTGTGCCCAATTTATCATGATATTTATCGTGTATAATTGGCAGTTTGGAGGGATATGTTGTGTGTCTTTATATGTGTATGCTTCTAGACTGTTGTATTCTGAGCACCTCTGCAAAAACAGTGATAATGTGCGAGTGTGGTGAAAGTGTTGAATGATGATGAAAGTATTTTCTTTTTGGGGATTTTCTTTCTTTTTTTTGGGTCACCCTGCCTCGGTGGGAGACGGCCGACTTGTTGAAAAAAAAAAAAAAAAAAAAAATTGCAAAGGTGGTTATTTTTTATTTTTTTTATTATCACACCGGCCGATTCCCACCAAGGCAGGGTGGCCCGAAAAAGAAAAACTTTCACCATCATTCACTCCATCACTGTCTTGCCAGAAGGGTGCTTTACACTACAGTTTTTAAACTGCAACATTAACACCCCTCCTTCAGAGTGCAGGCACTGTACTTCCCATCTCCAGGACTCAAGTCCGGCCTGCCGGTTTCCCTGAATCCCTTCATAAATGTTACTTTGCTCACACTCCAACAGCACGTCAAGTATTAAAAACCATTTGTCTCCATTCACTCCTATCAAACACGCTCACGCATGCCTGCTGGAAGTCCAAGCCCCTCGCACACAAAACCTCCTTTACCCCCTCCCTCCAACCCTTCCTAGGCCGACCCCTACCCCGCCTTCCTTCCACTACAGACTGATACACTCTTGAAGTCATTCTGTTTCGCTCCATTCTCTCTACATGTCCGAACCACCTCAACAACCCTTCCTCAGCCCTCTGGACAACAGTTTTGGTAATCCCGCACCTCCTCCTAACTTCCAAACTACGAATTCTCTGCATTATATTCACACCACACATTGCCCTCAGACATGACATCTCCACTGCCTCCAGCCTTCTCCTCGCTGCAACATTCATCACCCACGCTTCACACCCATATAAGAGCGTTGGTAAAACTATACTCTCATACATTCCCCTCTTTGCCTCCAAGGACAAAGTTCTTTGTCTCCACAGACTCCTAAGTGCACCACTCACTCTTTTTTCCCTCATCAATTCTATGATTCACCTCATCTTTCATAGACCCATCCGCTGACACGTCCACTCCCAAATATCTGAATACGTTCACCTCCTCCATACTCTCTCCCTCCAATCTGATATTCAATCTTTCATCACCTAATCTTTTTGTTATCCTCATAACCTTACTCTTTCCTGTATTCACCTTTAATTTTCTTCTTTTGCACACCCTACCAAATTCATCCACCAATCTCTGCAACTTCTCTTCAGAATCTCCCAAGAGCACAGTGTCATCGGCAAAGAGCAGCTGTGACAACTCCCACTTTGTGTGTGATTCTTTATCTTTTAACTCCACGCCTCTTGCCAAGACCCTCGCATTTACTTCTCTTACAACCCCATCTATAAATATATTAAACAACCACGGTGACATCACACATCCTTGTCTAAGGCCTACTTTTACTGGGAAAAAATTTCCCTCTTTCCTACATACTCTAACTTGAGCCTCACTATCCTCGTAAAAACTCTTCACTGCTTTCAGTAACCTACCTCCTACACCATACACTTGCAACATCTGCCACATTGCCCCCCTATCCACCCTGTCATACGCCTTTTCCAAATCCATAAATGCCACAAAGACCTCTTTAGCCTTATCTAAATACTGTTCACTTATATGTTTCACTGTAAACACCTGGTCCACACACCCCCTACCTTTCCTAAAGCCTCCTTGTTCATCTGCTATCCTATCCTCCGTCTTACTCTTAATTCTTTCAATTATAACTCTACCATACACTTTACCAGGTACACTCAACAGACTTATCCCCCTATAATTTTTGCACTCTCTTTTATCCCCTTTGCCTTTATACAAAGGAACTATGCATGCTCTCTGCCAATCCCTAGGTACCTTACCCTCTTCCATACATTTATTAAATAATTGCACCAACCACTCCAAAAACTATATCCCCACCTGCTTTTAACATTTCTATCTTTATCCCATCAATCCCGGCTGCCTTACCCCCCTTTCATTTACCTACTGCCTCACGAACTTCCCCCACATCACAACTGGCTCTTCCTCACTCCTACAAGATGTTATTCCTCCTTGCCCTATACACGAAATCACAGCTTCCCTATCTTCATCAACATTTAACAATTCCTCAAAATATTCCTTCCATCTTCCCATACCTCTACCTCTCCATTTAATAACTCTCCTCTCCTATTTTTAACTGACAAATCCATTTGTTCTCTAGGCTTTCTTAACTTGTTTAATCTCACCTCCAAAACTTTTTCTTATTTTCAACAAAATTTGTTGATAACATCTCACCCACTCTCTCATTTGCTCTCTTTTTACATTGCTTCACCCACTCTCTTAACTTCTCTCTTTTTCTCCATATACTCTTCCCTCCTTGCATTACTTCTACTTTGTAAAAACTTCTCATATGCTAACTTTTTCTCCCTTACTACTCTCTTTACATCATCATTCCACCAATCGCTCCTCTTCCCTCCTGCACCCACTTTCCTGTAACCACAAACTTCTGCTGAACACTCTAACACTACATTTTTAAACCTACCCCATACCTCTTCGACCCCATTGCCTATGCTCTCATTAGCCCATCTATCCTCCAATAGCTGTTTATATCTTACCCTAACTGCCTCCACTTTTAGTTTATAAACCTTCACCTCTCTCTTCCCTGATGCTTCTATTCTCCTTGTATCCCATCTACCTTTTACTCTCAGTGTAGCTACAACTAGAAAGTGATCTGATATATTGTGTCTTGTTATTTCCTCTTGTCAACTAATGGAAATCTTTAAAGGTTTTAAGCTTCTTTATGATTTATATATCTTAGTTCTGGGAGATATTTTGGAGCATGGGGCTTTTTTCTGTGTATTTTTTTTAACAGATCAGTTGTTTCCCACCGAGGCAAGGAAGAAACACTGTCATCATTCACTCCATCACTGTCTGTCGTGAGGCGTGCCTATACGACAGTTCAAAAACTGCATCATGCTTTTTGGCTGCACATGGTAGGAAGAGTGATGGACTGAACACATCGATTCCAGGTTGAGGGACTGATTACCTCAAACTTCTACTCTCCTTACCCATTTCGACTTTGTATTGGACTGATGAAGCCACTGTGTGGCGAAACGTTTCTTCAATAAAGATTCCCATGTGTTGCATAAGTGTCTCAATTCTTCAACTTGTCGGTTTTCAAAACCATTCATCACAAATTCTATTATTACAGAATTAATGTTTTTTGGTAGGGTATGAAAAAGAAGAAAATTAAAAGTGAATACAGGAAAGAGTAAGGTTATGAGGATAACAAAAAGATTAGGTGATGAAAGATTGGATATCAGATTGGAGGGAGAGAGTATGGAGGAGGTGAATGTATTCAGATATTTGGGAGTGGACGTGTCAGCAGATGGGTCTATGAAAGATGAGGTGAATCATAGAATTGATGAGGGGAAAAGGGTGAGTGGTGCACTTAGGAGTCTGTGGAGACAAAGAACTTTGTCCTTGGAGGCAAAGAGGGGAATGTATGAGAGTATAGTTTTACCAACGCTCTTATATGGGTGTGAAGCGTGGGTGATGAATGTTGCAGCGAGGAGAAGGCTGGAGGCAGTGGAGATGTTATGTCCGAGGGCAATGTGTGGTGTGAATATAATGCAGAGAATTCGTAGTTTGGAAGCTAGGAGGAGGTGCGGGATTACCAAAACTGTTGTCCAGAGGGCTGAGGAAGGGTTGTTGAGGTGGTTCAGACATGTAGAGAGAATGGAACGAAACAGAATGACTTCAAGAGTGTATCAGTCTGTAGTGGAAGGAGGGTGGGGTAGGGGTCAGCCTAGGAAAGGTTGGAGGGAGGGGGTAAAGGAGGTTTTGTGTGCGAGGGGCTTGGACTTCCAGCAGGCGTACGTGAGCATGTTTGACAGGAGTGAATGGAGACGAATGGTTTTTAATACTTGACGTGCTGTTGGAGTGTGAGCAAAGTAACATTTATGAAGGGGTTCAGGGAAACCGGCAGGCCGGACTTGAGTCCTGGAGATGGGAAGTACAGTGCCTGCACTCTGAAGGAGGGGTGTTAATGTTGCAGTTTAAAAACTGTAGTGTAAAGCACCCTTCTGGCAAGACAGTGATGGAGTGAATGATGGTGAAAGTTTTTCTTTTTCGGGCCACCCTGCCTTGGTGGGAATCGGCCAGTGTGATAATAATAAATATTGTTTTTTGTAGAAATCATTTACTTTTTTAATTACCATGCTAGCTGGATTAATAAGACGAATATGCAGCACTCTAGTATCTTTATTGTGGAGATGTTTCTTTAACCAGTGGCTTTATCAGTTCAGTACAGAGAATACTGTGTAGTAGTAGTTTTATGTGATCAGTGGAGACAAATGGTTTTTATGACTTGACATGCTGTTGGAGTGTGAGCTAGGTAACATTTATGAAGGGATTCAGGGAAACCGGTAGGCCGGACTTGAGTCCTGAAGGTGGGAAGCACATATTTTAAAAAGATGGACCCAATTTCAAAGCAATATGCTTTGAAATTGGGTCTATCTTTTTGAAGCACCCTGTACTGTGCCTGCACTCTGGAGGAGGGGTGTTGATGCTGCAGTTTTTCAACTGTAGTGTATAGGTGCACCTCTGGCAAGACAGTGATGAAAGTGTTTCTTCTTGTTTGGGTCTCCCTGCCTCAGTGGGAACCAGCTGGTGTATTAAAAAAATCTATCCTGCAGGCTTGGCACTTCGTTGTTGGCTGGATTATTGTGTCTTGGCCATAAGCCAGAGGATGTCATCAAATTTCTTTAAGCCATCCATGGTTGAGCAACAAAGCCACGGAGAGGATAAATGGTTGGCGGATGATAACCTCCTGGCTTTGTGGCCTATCCACTTTCACTTGATGATCTCCTCATGGCTTTGTGATGTATCCACTATCACTTGATGACCTCCTCATGGCTTTGTGATGTATCCACTCTCACTTGATGACCTCCTCATGGCTTTGTGACCTATCCACTTTCACTTGAAGACCTCCTCATGGCTTTGTGATCTATCCACTCACTCGATGACCTTCTGGCTTTGTGGCTTATCCACTCTCACTTGATGACCTCATGGCTTTGTGGCTTATGCACTCTCACTTGTTTGCCATAGCCATTGCATCGTGAAGCAAAATTTGCAGTTTTCTGTAATTTGGTTTAAAAATTTATATACAAATATTTTAATGCATCAGTTTATATCATCTTAAATGAGTCATCATCTTCAAATTATTTTTCCCCCTCCGTAGGCTGTGTTGTTAATTTGACCGAGTGGCCTCCATACGTGATTGTACTGGACGAAGTGGAACTGGTACACTTTGAGAGGGTACAGTTCCACCTGAAGAACTTTGACATGGTGTTTGTGTTCAAAGATTACTCTAGGAAGACGTCCATGATCAATGCAATCCCCATGCAGATGCTGGACCATGTTAAAGAGTGGCTCAAGTAAGTGTTATACGAATACAAGTAATTTCTTTACTGCAGTACAGTCAGTCCTCACTTAAGTATTATTCAGATAGGAGAAGGCCCCACTTGTACAGCAGGTTAGGTTCCTGATTACTGCTGTAAAAGAGGGCCCCACTTATACAGCAGGTTAGGTTCTGGGTTACTGCTGTAAAGGAGGACCCTGCTTATACAGCAGGTTAGGTTCTGGGTTACTGCTGTGAAGGAAGGCCCCACTTATACAGCAGGTTAGGTTCCGGGTTACTGCTGTAAAGGAGGACCCTGCTTATACAGCAGGTTAGGTTCTGGGTTACTGCTGTGAAGGAAGGCCCCACTTATACAGCAGGTTAGGTTCCGGGTTACTGCTGTAAAGGAGGACCCTGCTTATACAGCAGGTTAGGTTCTGGGTTACTGCTGTGAAGGAAGGCCCCACTTATACAGCAGGTTAGGTTCCAGGCTACTGCTGTAAAGGAGGGCCCCACTTATACAGTAGGTTAGGATTCAGTGATCTTCAGTTAGCTGGGATTTTTTTAGCAGTTGCAAACCGACTGTGTCCTCAGTTTATGGAACCACTGAAAGATATGGTGAAGATATTGGAAGTTAGTTAATAAGGTTTGTATTTACCATGGAACATAGGACATCATCATGAAGATAAAAAGTCACAATACCATGACTGGAACAATACACAAATAACCTGCACATAGGAGAGAGAAACTTATGGCATCATGAGTTTATTTTTGATATAAAACTGGGATGCTTGAATGTGCGTGGATGTAGTGCGGATGACAAGAAACAGATTATTGTTGATGTTATGAATGAAAAGAAGTTGGATGTCCTGGCCCTAAGCAAAACAAAGGTGAAGGGGGTAGGGGAGTTTCGGTGGGGGGAAATAAATGGAATTAAATCTGGAGTATCTGAGAGAGTTAGAGCAAAGGAAGGGGTGGCAGTAATGTTGAAGGATCAGTTATGGAAGGAGAAAAGAGAATATGAATGTTTAAATTCAAGAATTATGTGGATTAAAGTAAAGGTTGGATGCGAAAAGTGGGTCATAATAAGCGTGTATGCACCTGGAGAAGAGAGGAATGTAGAGGAGAGAGAGAGATTTTGGGAGATGTTAAGTGAATGTATAGGAACCTTTGAACCAAGTGAGAGAGTAATTGTGGTAGGGGACCTGAATGCTAAGGTAGGAGAAACTTTTAGTGAGGGTGTAGTAGGTAAGTTTGGGGTGCCAGGTGTAAATGATAATGGGAGCCCTTTGATTGAACTTTGTATAGAAAGGGGTTTAGTTATAGGTAATACATATTTTAAGAAAAAGAGGATAAATAAGTATACAAGATATGATGTAGGGCGAAATGACAGTAGTTTATTGGATTATGTATTGGTAGATAAAAGACTGTTGAGTAGACTTCAGGATGTACATGTTTATAGAGGGGCCACAGATATATCAGATCACTTTTTAGTTGTAGCTACACTGAGGGTAAAAGGTAGATGGGATACAAGGAGAATAGAAGCATCAGGGAAGAGAGAGGTGAAGGTTTATAAACTAAAAGAGGAGGCAGTTAGGGTAAGATATAAACAGCTATTGGAGGATAGATGGGCTAATGAGAACATAAGCAATGGGGTCGAAGAGGTATGGGGTTGGTTTAAAAATGTAGTGTTAGAGTGTTCAGCAGAAGTTTGTGGTTACGGAAAGTGGGTGCGGAGGGAAGAGGAGCGATTGGTGGAATGATGATGTAAAGAGAGTAGTAAGGGAGAAAAAGTTAGCATATGAGAGTTTTTTCAAAGTAGAAGTGATGCAAGGAGGGAAGAGTATATGGAGAAAAAGAGAGAGGTTAAGAGAGTGGTGAAGTAATGTAAAAAGAGAGCAAATGAGAGAGTGGGTGAGATGTTATCAACAAATTTTGTTGAAAATAAAGAAAAGTTTTGGAGTGAGATTAACAAGTTAAGAAAGCCTAGAGAACAAATGGATTTGTCAGTTAAAATAGGAGAGGAGAGTTATTAAATGGAGAGAGTTAGAGGTATTGGGAAGATGGAGGGAATATTTTGAGGAATTGTTAAATGTTGATGAAGATAGGGAAGCTGTGATTTTCGTGTATAGGGCAAGGAGGAATAGCATCTTGTAGGAGTGAGGAAGAGCCAGTTGTGATGTGGTGGGAAGTTCGTGAGGCAGTAGGTAAAATGAAAGGGGGTAAGGCAGCCGGGATTGATGGGATAAAGATAGAAATGTTAAAAGCAGGTGGGGATATAGTTTTGGAGTGGTTGGTGCAATTATTTAATAAATGTATGGAAGAGGGTAAGGTACCTAGGATTGGCAGAGAGCATGCATAGTTCCTTTGTATAAAGGCAAAGGGGACAAAAGAGAGTGCAAAAATTATAGGGGGATAAGTCTGTTGAGTATACCTGGAAAAGTGTATGGTAGAGTTATTATTGAAAGAATTAAGAGAAAGACAGAGAATAGGATAGCAGATGAACAAGGAGGCTTTGGAAAGGTAGGGGGTGTGGGGGACCAGGTGTTTACAGTGAAACATGTAAGTGAACAGAAATTTAGATAAGGCTAAAGAGTTCTTTTGTGCATTTATGGATTTGGAAAAGGCATATGACAGGGTGGATAGGGAGGCAATGTGGCAGATGTTGCAGGTATAGGGGTGTAGGAGGTTAGGTTTACTAAAAGCAGTGAAGAGTTTTTAACTAGGATAGTGAGCTCAATTTAAAGAGTATGTAGGAAAGAGGGAAATTATTTCCCAGTAAAAGAAAGACCTTAGACAAGGATGTGTGATGTCACCGTGGTTGTTTAATATATTTATAGATGGGGTTGTAAAGAAGTAAATGCGAGGGTCTTGGCAAGAGGTGTGGAGTTAAAAGATAAAGAATCACACATAAAGTGGGAGTTGTCACAGTTGCTCTTTGCTGATGACACTGTGCTCTTGGGAGATTCTGAAGAGAAGTTGCAGAGATTGGTGGATGAATTTGGTAGGGTGTGCAAAAGAAGAAAATTGAAAGTGAACTGTAACATCCTCACTCATCCTTCAGAACTGTAACATCCTCACTCATCCTCCAGAACTGTAACATCCTCACTCATCCTCCAGAACTGTAACATCCTCACTCATCCTTCAGAATTGTAACATCCTCACTCATCCTTCAGAATTGTAACATCCTCACTCATCCTTCAGAACTGTAAACATCCTCACTCATCCTTCAGAACTGTAACATCCTCACTCATCCTTTAGAAAATGTAAAGATTTCCCCACTCATCCTTTAGAACTGTAACCCTCACTCATCCTTCAGAACTGTAACATCCTCACTCATCCTTCAGAACTGTAGCATTTCCCCCACTCATCCCTTTAGAACTGTAAACATCCTCACTCATCCTTCAGAACTGTGCATCCTCACTCATCCTTCAGAACTGTGCATCCTCACTCATCCTTCGAAACTGTAAACATCCTCACTCATCCTTCAGAAAACTGTAAGATCCTACTCATCCTTCAGAACTGTAAGATCCTCACTCATCCTTCAAACTGTAACATCCCACTCATCCTTCAGAAAATGTAACATCCCCATCATCCTTCAGAACTGTAAGATCCCCACATCACCTTCAGAACTGGGAAGATCCCACTCATCCTTCAGAACTGTAAACATCCTCACTCATCCTTCAGAACTGTAGCATCCTCACTCATCCTCAGAACTGTTAGCATCCTCACTCATCCTTCAGAACTGTAGCATCCTCACTCATCCTTCAGAACTGTAGCATCCTCACTCCCTCCTTCAGAACTGTAACATCCTCACTCATCCTTCAGAACTGTAACATCCTCACTCATCCTTCAGAACTGTAGCATCCTCCTCATCCTTCAGAACTGTAGCATCCTCACTCATCCTTCAGAAATGTAGCATCCTCACTCATCCTTCAGAACTGTAGCATCCTCACTCATCCTTCAGAACTGTAGCATCCTCACTCATCCTTCAGAACTGTAGCATCCTCACTCATCCTTCAGAACTGTAGCATCCTCACTCATCCTTCAGAACTATAACATTCTCACTCATCCTTCAGAACTGTAACATCCTCACTCATCCTTCAGAACTGTAACATCCTCACTCATCCTTCAGAACTATAACATCCTCACTCATCTTTCAAAGTACAGTGGTACCTCAGTATACGTCCATAATATCTTCCAAGACCTTGGACTAGTACCAGACAGGACATATACCAAACACATTTTCCCATAAGATATATAGGTACACAAATAACCCGCACATAAAAGAGAGAAGCTTACGACGACGTTTCGGTCCGACTTTTATGTGCGGGTTATTTGTGTATCGTTCCAGTCAGGGTATTGTGCCTTTTTTTGTTATTTAAAATATGTAGGGAAAGTGATTAATCCGTTCCCATGAAAAAATGCTATTGTTATTGGCATATTTTATGTTGATGGGGTTGTATAAAATAATTTAAACACTGCTTAATACTAAAATATGTAATTTAAACACTGCTGAATACTAAAATACTTATGCAAATACAAAAGAATTAGATGAAATAAATACAAATTTATCTAGGTAGTAGGTAGGTAGACAGCAACCACCCAGGGAGGTACTACCGTCCTGTGGTAGTAGGTTGGTGGACAGCAACCACCCAGGGAGGTACTACCGTCCTGTGGTAGTAGGTTGGTGGACAGCAACCACCCAGGGAGGTACTACCGTCCTGCCAAGCGAGTGTAAAACGAAAGCTTGTAATTGTTTTACATGATGGTAGGATTGCTGGTGTCTTTTTTCTGTCTCATAAACATGCAAGGTTTCAGGTACGTCTTGCTACTTATACTTACACTTAGGTCACTCTACACATACATGTACAAGCATATATACACACCCCTCTGGGTTTTCTTCTATTTTCTTACTAGTTCTTGTTTATTTCCTCTTATCTCCATGGGGAAGTGGAACAGAATTCTTCCTCCGTAAGCTATGCGTGTTGTAAGAGGTGACTAAAATGCCAGGAGCAAGGGGCTAGTAACCCCTTCTCCTGTATAAATTACTGAATTTGAAAAGAGAAACTTTTCTTTTTCTTTTTGGGCCACCCTGCCTTGGTGGGATACGGCCGGTTTGTTGAAAGAAAGAAGAAATACAAATTTAACCTCACTCTACTTGGTGAAAAAGAGCCGAGTGCCTACTAGGATAGTGCTGAGAAGGGAGGAGGAGGAAATGTTATTGTTTGGAAGGAGAGTCCCCTTCTCTTTTCTGTCTCTTATCCCTATTTGGTCCTGGTTAAAGCTCACCAGGTTTGACTTTTACTAAAAATCTGTCCAAAGAACTTTGCTTCTGCCTTCTCAGGATGTTTCGGAAATGTGAAGGTTAGTGCACAGTGTTCACTCATTTTGACCCATACAAGTTCTAGCACACAAGTCGTATTCCAAACAAACATCGTACACCAAGCAAAAATTTTCACACCCTAACAGGACGTATACCAAATTGGACTTATTCCAAAGCGGACATATGCTGAGGTACCACTGTACAGGCACTGTACTTCCCACCTCCAGGACTCAAGTCCTGCTAACCACTTACTCAGAACTCGCCTGCCTGTTGTGATTTGTTTCCACTTGCATTACAATTTTGTGCCTCGTGACTAATAATTCGTGTTGTTTGCAGTTCATGTGACATCCGTTACTCCGAGGGCGTGCAGTCACTCAACTGGGCCAAGGTTATGAAGACGATCATTGATGACCCTGATGGCTTTTTTGACCAGGTAAATAAGATTTTTTTTTTCCAGACTGCAATTTTTTGTGGGGAGTGATTCTTGCTTTAACTTCAGTCTTCTTCTTTGTCTTTTCTCTTTGTCTTCTTCTTTGTCTTCGTCATCTTTATCCTCTGTCTCCTCACCCCCCCCCCCCACCATATTTTGTATTAAGGATGTATTCAGGATGTACATGTTTATAGAGGGGCCACAGATATATCAGATCACTTTCTAGTTGTAGCTACACTGAGAGTAAAAGGTAGATGGGATACAAGGAGAATAGAAGCATCAGGGAAGAGAGAGGTGAAGGTTTATAAACTAAAAGAGGAGGCAGTTAGGGTAAGATATAAACAGCTATTGGAGGATAGATGGGCTAATGAGAGCATAGGCAATGGGGTCGAAGAGGTATGGGGTAGGTTTAAAAATGTAGTGTTAGAGTGTTCAGCAGAAGTTTGTGGATACAGGAAAGTGGGTGCGGGAGGGAAGAGGAGCGATTGGTGGAATGATGATGTAAAGAGAGTAGTAAGGGAGAAAAAGTTAGCATATGAGAAGTTTTTACAAAGTAGAAGTGATGCAAGGAGGGAAGAGTATATGGAGAAAAAGAGAGAAGTTAAGAGAGTGGTGAAGCAATGTAAAAGAGAGCAAATGAGAGAGTGGGTGAGATGTTATCAACAAATTTTGTTGAAAATAAGAAAAAGTTTTGGAGTGAGATTAACAAGTTAAGAAAGCCTAGAGAACAATGGATTTTCAGTTAAAAATAGGAGAGGAGAGTTATTAAATGGAGAGTTAGAGGTATTGGGAAGATGGAAGGAATATTTTGAGGAATTGTTAAATGTTGATGAAGATAGGGAAGCTGTGATTTCGTTTATAGGGCAAGGAGGAATAACATCTTGTAGGAGTGAGGAAGAGCCAGTTGTGAGTGTGGGGAAGTTCGTGAGGCAGTAGGTAAAATGAAAGGGGGTAAGGCAGCCGGGATTGATGGGATAAAGATAGAAATGTTAAAAGCAGGTGGGGATATAGTTTTGGAGTGGTTGGTGCAATTATTTAATAAATGTATGGAAGAGGGTAAGGTACCTAGGGTTGGCAGAGAGCATGCATAGTTCCTTTGTACAAAGGCAAAGGGGATAAAAGAGAGTGCAAAATTATAGGGGGATAAGTCTGTTGAGTGTACCTGGTAAAGTGTATGGTAGAGTTATAATTGAAGAATTAAGAGTAAGACGGAATAGGATAGCAGATGAACAAGGAGCTTTAGGAAAGGTAGGGGGTGTGTGGACCAGGTGTTTACAGTGAAACATATAAGTGAACAGTATTTAGATAAGGCTAAAGAGGTCTTTGTGGCATTTATGGATTTGGAAAAGGCGTATGACAGGGTGGATAGGGGGGCAATGTGGCAGATGTTGCAAGTGTATGGTGTAGGAGGTAGGTTACTGAAAGCAGTGAAGAGGTTTTTACGAGGATAGTGAGGCTCAAGTTAGAGTATGTAGGAAAGAGGGAAATTTTTTCCCAGTAAAAGTAGGCCTTAGACAAGGATGTGTGATGTCACCGTGGTTGTTTAATATATTTATAGATGGGGTTGTAAGAGAAGTAAATGCGAGGGTCTTGGCAAGAGGCGTGGAGTTAAAAGATAAAGAATCACACACAAAGTGGGAGTTGTCACAGCTGCTCTTTGCTGATGACAACTGTGCTCTTGGGAGATTCTGAAGAGAAGTTGCAGAGATTGGTGGATGAATTTGGTAGGGTGTGCAAAAGAAGAAAATTAAAGGTGAATACAGGAAAGAGTAAGGTTATGAGGATAACAAAAGATTAGGTGATGAAAGATTGAATATCAGATTGGAGGGAGAGAGTATGGAGGAGGTGAACGTATTCAGATATTTGGAGTGGACGTGTCAGCGGATGGGTCTATGAAGATGAGGTGAATCATAGAATTGATGAGGGAAAAAGAGTGAGTGGTGCACTTAGGAGTCTGTGGAGACAAAGAACTTTGTCCTTGGAGGCAAAGAGGGGAATGTATGAGAGTATAGTTTTACCAACGCTCTTATATGGGTGTGAAGCGTGGGTGATGAATGTTGCAGCGAGGAGAAGGCTGAGGCAGTGGAGATGTCATGTCTGAGGGCAATGTGTGGTGTGAATATAATGCAGAGAATTCGTAGTTTGGAAGTTAGGAGGAGGTGCGGGATTACCAAAACTGTTGTCCAGAGGGCTGAGGAAGGGTTGTTGAGGTGGTTCGGACATGTAGAAGAATGGAGCGAAACAGAATGACTTCAAGAGTGTATCAGTCTGTAGTGGAAGGAAGGCGGGTAGGGGTCGGCTAGGAAGGGTTGGAGGGAGGGGTTAAAGGAGGTTTTGTGTGCGAGGGGCTTGGACTTCCAGGCAGGCATGCGTGAGCGTGTTTGATAGGAGTGAATCTAGACAAATGGTTTTTAATACTTGACGTGCTGTTGGAGTGTGAGCAAAGTAACATTTATGAAGGGATTCAGGGAAACCGGCAGGCCGGACTTGAGTCCTGGAGATGGGAAGTACAGTGCTGCACTCTGAAGGAGGGTGTTAATGTTGCAGTTTAAAAACTGTAGTGTAAAGCACCCTTCTGGCAAGACAGTGATGGAGTGAATGATGGTGAAAGTTTTTCTTTTTCGGGCCACCCTGCCTTGGTGGGAATCGGCCGGTGTGATAATAAAAAAAAAAAAAAAAAAAAATTAACCATCTCCATGGGGAAGTGGAACAGAATTCTTCCTCCGTAAGCCATTCGTGTCGTAAGAGGCGACTAAAATGCCGGGAGCAAGGGGCTAGTAACCCCTTCTCCTGTATATACAGTGGACCCCCGGTTAACGATATTTTTTCATTCCAGAAGTATGTTCAGGTGCCAGTACTGACCGAATTTGTTCCCATAAGGAATATTGTGAAGTAGATTAGTCCATTTCAGACCCCCAAACATACACGTATAAACGCACTTACATAAATACACTTACATAATTGGTCACATTGGGAGGTGATCGTTAAGCGGGGGTCCACTGTATTACTAAATTTGAAAGGAGAAGCTTTCATTTTTCTTTTTGGGCTGCCCCGCCTCGGTGGGATACGGCCGGTTTGTTGAAAGAAAAAAAAATTAACCGTGTGTTGACACCCAAAAATTCACTAAATATTCTAATGGTTTGCATTTAGTTTAAATTTTGAATGTTTGTTGTTGTTATACTACCTTGTATAGTTGTATGATATACTAATAAACAATATACTTTCAGATGATTAGGGTGTATACACTGTTGTATGTTTCTCAGTGTATGTACACTGAGAGGTGTATATCTCAGTGTATGTACACTGAAAGGTGTATACCTCAGTGTATGTATACTGAGAGGTGTATATATTAGTGTATGTACACTGAGAGGTGTATATATTAGTGTATGTACACTGAGAGGTGTATTCTCGTGATGTACTCTTATAGTTTAATTAATCTATTTTAGTTTTAAGGTATTCTTGCTGAGACCCCGGTGTAGTAGTAGACTTTTAAAACCCCCTTTAACCCCCAACCCAAAGTCTATCAAGAATGCGTTCTTCCATCCTGTGAGGTGAGAATGAATTATTCTTCTGCATTTCCATCTTCGGGTAAGTTGCAGGAATGGCTTTGGCAGGGTTGGTGGTTTGGGGGGGTCCGAGCGAGTAAATCTTTTAAACTGTAGTTGTCAATACGGCCTGGGCAAGACTGAAGTGAGTGATATGTAGGGTGTGTTTTCTTGGGGGGCCGTTTTTGGGGGGGGTCACGGGGGGGCCGGCTGCCGTTGGTGGGAAACAAGCTAAATGTGTTAAAAAATCAAGCATGTATATGAAGAACAAAAGGCACAGTAGAGTGACTGGAGCTGGATACAGGCAAAATATCGAGCCGGGGGACCCGGCACATAGGAGGAGAGTGAAGCTTGTGATGAATGTTATGTTGGAGGAAGACACACACGGTCCTTTTCTATTCTTGTCCCGAGGGGCCAACGGGGGGGGGCACTCTCCCTACTTTACACTTCCATCTTACTGCTGCTACTTTCTCTACCTGTCTTACCACTACTACTACTACCAACTACCTGCCTTACCACACCACTACTACCTGCATTACCACTATTACTGCCACTACCACCGGCCGTTAGGGGGGAGGGGGCCGGTCGGTGGGGGGGGACTATCTGGGGGGGTCCACTACCTGGCCTTACCACTACTAATACCACTACCCTGCCTACCCGCCTACCACTACTACTGCCACTACCTGCCTTACACTACTACTACTACTACCTGCCTTACCACTACCTCCTTACCACTACTAACTGCCACTATCTGCCTTACCACTACTACTACTATCACTACCTGCCTTACCACTACAGTGGAACTCCCCGGTTAAAAAAGGGGGGCGATTTTGGAATAATTCAAGGGGGGGGGGCCTGCAAGAGGGGGAAGGATTGTTATGCGAAATAGAGCTATGTGAATGAATTTCCCCATAAGAAATTAATGGAAAATCAAATTAAGCCTGTGAATGACTAAATGGGAAGGGGTGATGAGAGAGAGGATTTTTGTTGTAGACGGGGGGGGGAGTCATGAAGATATACATTTTTTCGACGGCGGGGGGGACACGGGGGGGGAGTAGACAACAAAGAGAAGGATTACAATGCACAATAGTAGAGTATACATGCACAGTATAATATATTTTCATGTACTAGTCTACTAAAATGAAGAATAAATGACAACTTACATTTTATTGAAGATGCAAGCAATGCTGATGAGACACTGTGTTCCTGGGAGTGCCTTTACCTCCTGAACTGTAAGTCCTGTTTGCATTCTTCCAAACAGGCCTTAATCACACGTGGTATGCCACTACGATTCTTAAATCTCTTCAAACCAACCCTTTTTTTTTTTATTATTTTTTTGCTGCTTTAAATTCACCAATATGAGCACTAGTTCCAGGCATTTTTCCTGTTCACCTGGGTAGTTTAGTCGCCTGTGTGGGTGCATCCTGGAACAAGATTAAGGACCCCAAAGGAAATAAG